TGTGTGTGTGTGTGTGTGCGGAGGTTAAGGGAGGTGGAAGGAGATAGTTTTCTGAGTTCTGAGAATTTGGCTACTGCTTACATTATAATAATATTGTGATGCTATCAGGATGGTTACTTTGAAGAAGGAGAGTGGGAAGGTTGTGTATATGTTTGTTTTTCAGTATGTACATCTGTCCCCAGCCTCTCTCCAGGTGGAACATTTTTGCTTCAACATTCTGTTTTTCAATGTATCTTACTAGGCTTCGCTGGACTCTACCAGAAATGAAGTCCACTAATTCTAAGAGAAGGAGAAAATTGTCCACAAAAGCTCTTTAAAACAGCTGACACTATAAATGTCCCCTGCTGATCGTTTCATTATACACTGAACTTCATTCAAGGTTATTAATGGCTTGTGAACTTTTTCGGGGTTGTTACAGTGGACTATGCTCGATCAATGTCACTTTTGCGAGGACAGGTAACATTCATGTGACATTTCCATCATCTGCAAATTACACAAGACTATTAACAATTCATGAACATGTCGACATGCACCACGCCTAAATCGTTGTCCATTGAATGATGTTGACTTTCATTTCGAAGGAGTTCACTAAGAAAACTCAGCCATGGTCTCCCCCAAGAAAAGAAAAAAAGTGAAACCCTTTCAAACCTTTCTTCTTACGTAAAGTTAATTTTGTTATTGATTTTCTTTCTTTTTAGATAAAATATGGGGAGAGTGAGGTGAGGTGTGTGCGTGAAGTGTGTGTGTGTGTGTGTGTGTGTGTGTGTGTGTGTGTGTGTGTGTGTGTGTGTGTGTGTGTGTGTGTGTGTGTGTGTGTGTGTGTGTTAGAGAGAGAGAGAAAGAGAAAGGGAGAGAGAAGGAGAGATGTCGGGGGATCGATCTGTCTCTTGAGGATAAGGGGAAAAAAGCACTTTTAAGATGCCATCTCCGCTTCGGATAGCAACTATCCTCGTGTAAGAGCAGCAATATGAATTTTATGCTGAGTTGATACCCCCCCCCCCCACACACACACACCCACACTCCTTCGTTCGTCTCCTATTGTATCGCTGGCAAGGACCTGTGTTCTCAATCCAGGAGCCCAAAAGGCATCAAATTACAAGCGGTTGTGTCTTAAACACGACATGAGAGAAACTGTTCATGGTCTAACCTTAATTCACCACCCTGTTCCGTAGTCACGCGAATTGACGATTTAAGTCAAAGTCCTTCAGCCCAGGTTCGTTTTAGTTTTCCGACTATTTGAACATAAACCTAAGTCGCCCCCGCCTTCATTGACTTTAATCTGAAATATATATCAACAGACAAATGAAAGGAAAAGGTTTTCTACTGCACTTGGTAATAGATCCTTCCTACTTTGCAAATTAGCACGCGAGATCTGGTTGTATCAAAGGAGATATTAACAATTTCGAAACCCACTTTGGGGTATAAAGG